CATCATTCAGCGTTGCTGGTTCTGTCGCGAAACTTCGACAGGTCATAACTTCCTCGTTATAACTCGGATTTCGGCATTCTTTATATCTTTGGAAACCTTGTTTCAACCACTACAACATTATCTAAAGATATCAAGTTTATTTTACACTTAAATTTTGATGCTTATTTTTATTCTTAATTAATCAAACCACATAATTAAGCAATTAAGCATAAAACACATAATACTTAAATAATACACTTCTATTATTTCAAAACGGGTTACAAAGGTTAACCTAGACTATTTACATTGCTAAAAAATGGCAAGCCCAGAAACACAGGCGTTACACAACTCATAGTCAACAACTCGTATATCTTGGTTTGAAGACTTATATGATATTATTGTCTCACGATCACTCGAGATAAATTCCATGAAGTGATACAGGTGAGAATGGGTTTAATCCAATACTCAAACCTTATGAGTACTAATGAATGTTGCAGCAAATTTTGCTATGTCTAATACACTTTAGACAATTTACAATAAAAATTCATGACAGTCTTGCCTCAATACCTACTTCCAAAGTATGATCGACTGTGGACAGTTTGAATAATATAATTATTCTGGAAGTCATAACAAGCAAAATGAAACAATAGTAAATGATTGATACAAGATAGTAACATTACTTATAAATAAAAAAACAATTTATTTAATCATCAAATGTTAATTACATTTCAACTATTACAAGTTTCTAAAACTCTGTTTAATCATTAAAACTAATAACGTCCTTCAGCCCGTTGCACCTCGCATGTTGTAAGTGCGTAACCCTACTTAACCCCTTCGTGAGGTCATCTGCTGGGTTCTCCTATGACGATACCCTCATTGCTACGGGGAGTCCTTTTACTATTCGATGTCTAATGAAGTGATATTTACTTTCAATGTGTCTGGATCTGCCATGATCCCTTGGTTCCTTGGCTAAGGCAACCACAGTCTCACTGTCATAGAAAATATCCATAGGCTCCTTTGTAGCTAGTGTAACTCCAATGTCTCCGATGAAGTTCTTCAGCCATATTCCCTCCTTCGTCGTTTTTCTTGCTGCTATGTACTCTGATTCGCATGTTGAATCAGCTATCGTCTCCTGCTTGGAACTTTTCCAAGTTATTGCTCCTCCATTTACTGTAAATACCCAACCCGAATAAGAGTGTAAATTATCTATGTCGGTCTGAAAGACGGCATCACTATATCCCGTTACTCTCAAGTCATCACTCCTACTGAGGGTAAGGACCCAGTCCTTAGTCATTCATAGGTACTTGAGAATGTTCTTTACCGCAGTCCAGTGAGCCTTACTAGGATTCCCTTGATATCTACTGACCATGTTTAAAGCAAAGGCCACATCAGGACGAGTGCAAGTCATAACATACATGATCGAACCAACTGCGGAAACATAATGTACTCAATTCATCTTAGCTATCTCAGCCTCTGTACTGGGACTCTGAGTTTTACTTAGTTTGGTATTGCCTTGGATGGGTAAGTCACCTTTCTTGGAATCCATCATGTTGAACCTTTTTAACACCTTTTCCAAGTAGGTACTTTCACTAAGTGCAATTAGTCTTTTACTTCTATCTCTCGATATCCTTATCCCTAGAATATAGGCAGCTTCTCCGAGGTCCTTTCTAGCGAAACACTTCCCAAGCAGGACTTTGATGGGTATTATACAAAAGAACATTCCTATGTGCTCATACAAAAACCTTAAATTCTTGGATCTAGGGTAATTGGGTTTGATTGCTTGATTGTTTAAACATAATAATTATATTATTGTGGGTTGAAAACCCTATGTACTCACCAGGTTTCCCAACCTGACCCACTAAGTTTATTTATATCACAGGTGTTGATACGAAGTCACTTTACACTGAGAGATTTAAAGAGATGTAGATCACTAGTGTAAATAAATTTAAGTTCTGTTTATGCTTATGTTTTTGTATTAACGATGACATTCCAAACGTTTTGAAATGAATAAAATACGTTTCTTCGAAAATGTTTTAATAACGTATTTATCATGTTTTTCTGGGAACAAATTCCGCAACATTTTTATTAAAAGAAGTACTCTGATTTTTATAAAGCATAAACAAAATCGGTCTTTTCTGACCGTGAAAATGGGGATGTCACAACCGACATCCCCATTTTCACGGCCAGAAAAGACCGATTTTGTTTATACTTTGTTTGAAAATCAGAGTAACATTTTAAATAAAAGTGTTACGGAATTTGTCCCAAAACAAAATATGATAAAGATTTATCAAAAGCATTTCCAAGGAAATGTATTTCATTAAAAGACTTGGGATGTCATGTTCGATACAGATCAAAAGCATAAACAGTACAATATAAGCCTTACTACATTATTTTGTATCGACATGCCTATATCCGTAATCCCACATCCAGAACATCACATCTATGCTCACGCGCCACTACCTGTAATACAAGAAACTGAGTGGGTCAGGCTGGGGAGCCTGGTGAGCACATAGGGTTTTCAACCCACAATAAATAAGTTTATTAATTTCATTAATCAATAATAACCCGATTACCCATTCCCGTTATCCTCACTTTACGTCCCTAAACACCTATCATAAGGGACCTATCCTAAGGATCATCATCGGGATGGACACTATTGCTAAGAGGATTCCTCAGTAATAAATGTCCTTAAGGCAACCATTTGGGGGATGGAGTACATCGGTGAACACATCATTCACAACACCTACAGGTTGCAAGCCTGCTAGTGTTCCACTGGACTGTCTAGAAGAGTTCGTGGTCGTCATCCATACTCTGCTAGATGACAGAATCAACAACATCAACATCGAGTCCTCTTATCATTTTATTACACATCACCTATTACATCTACCCATGTTTTACCCCAACATTTTCGTAGATATAAAATACATATACATTTTAAATTATTGAAAACATGTATAAAAACGTTCATCCAACATAGATAGCAAGTATTCAGATAATATGAACACATAGCACGTAATTTATATAAAATACTTCATATCTATGTGTAAGCTGAAAGTAACTATGCACTCACCTGAAAGGTGGTGACTCAGTACTCGGACAGCGCTTCGATACTCTCAAAACAGTTTTCCTTCGATAAACCTAGTACCAATACCACTAGGGTTTAGTCTAACGATAACCGCAACAAATTAATAGTCTGACTATTATTATCAGTATTATATAAGCGTTAATAACATTCAATATAACTCATAATAATAGCCCAAATAATTATTTTAAGGACCTAATAACATTACTATAATTATTTGAAAGTTATATTAAAAATTGCGTAAGCGTAGCTCACTTACAGTGGATTTTAAAGAAAACCGGAATTTTATTTGGAGTAGCGTTTCAAAACCGAAATACCCTTTTTCTCAGGACTCCGGGAGCCTCGGGGCTTCCTTAGGGTGCTAGGGGATCACCTAGGCTTAGGGGAGGGTTAAAACCCTTAGAGGGAGAAAGAAACTAGAGAGAGAATGAGAAATGGTGTGAAAAATGCGGAGACCCTCACCCCTTTTTATACCCTGCGAGGCCTCGGACTACGCTGGGCGTAATCCTTAGCTACGCGGGGCGTAACTTCGGATAAGCATGCCACCTCGGTTCCAACTGTCTTGCACACCGGTCGGATAGGAAGCGAAGGTACGTTAGGCATACTAATCTCGGACGCAGGGCGTAATACGAGGCTACGTGTCATCATCCGAAGCGAGACTGTGCTTAGCAACTGACGGCTGAGATTTGGCCACGTCAGCAACTTCGAAATCAGCTTCGCAAATTCAAGTGCAAACTTTAAAAATTCGTAACTTTCGCGTACGAGCTCCGTTTTTCGACGTTTTTATATCCACGTGAAGGTGGGAACATACTCTACAACTTTCGTTTAGACTCCGTCGGCTAATTTTGACACGATTTTAAATTTTATATTATTAATAGGCCGGGACAGGATTGGTCCGTTAAATCCTCATAACTTCTTCATCCGACGTCCGTTTTCTCCCATATTTTTCTCATTATGCTACTCTTAATGAGATCTTCGATTCTCATTTAGGTTGTGTTGGCTAAAAGTCGCTCGATCTAATATTTGAATTTCGGGCTGTATACTGCTAATCCAAAACTTCGAAAAATCATAACTTCCTCATACGAAGTTAGATTTGAGCGTTCTTTTTATCGACGCTCTTAGTTTAACATACACTACGACTTTCATTTAGATCGCTAAAGCTAAATCTCGCTCTATCGTAAATTCACTATTTACGCTTCCCAATATCGTGCCAGTTCTGTCGCGAAACTTCGACGGTCATAACTTCTTTGTTATAACTCGGATTTCGGCGTTCTTTGTAACCCCTGAATCCTTGTTTTGACCACTACAACTTTATATAAAGATACCGGACTTATCTCACACTTTAATTTTGATGCTTATTTTTATTCGTTATTAATTATACATTTATAATTAAATAATAAGCACATAAATACACATAATTCACATAACACTCAAATATTTCATCTTTATTACTTTAAAAAGAGTTACAATTGTGGACTTAGACTATTACATTGTCAAAAATGCTTAGCACTGAAACCCGGACGTTACACGGCGTATGCCCCACAGTACTCCCCCTCAGTCATCCTCTTCCTCACAATATTTAACCTCCTCCAATTCCTACAAACCGTCTTTGACGCTGTCCGAAAATACTTGAAACCCAAACCCTCAAAACTCACTCTCGTTTTTTGAGAAAAAGACGACATGTCCCCAAACCAGATGTTCGATGCCACCGAAGTCTTCCTTTGTTCCAAAGTCAACATCGATTCCAAATGTCTCATGTGATTGTTCAATATTATTTCTTCTTCAATTTATATATTTTGATTTCGAACCTTATTAAATATGTTATCTTTCCTTGATTCTAGGATAACTAAAAACTTGAAAGACGACGAAATCAATGTCAAGTTTGCAAAATCGGAGACGATAGAAGATTCGTTTGAGGGAATCTCAGTTGCATGGAAGTATGTCATTGTGCCGCCTAAGGAAAAGACTAACGGCGGTCAAACCCCGGAAAAAAAAATTCATCAAGTTGAAATTCGAGAAAGAATACAAAGAGAAAATAATAAATTCCTACTTGCCATTGATCATTAAAAAAGCTAAGGAACTTGAAAACAAGAAAAAATTCGTAAAGCTTCATAACCTACAAGGCTACTGCAACGGTTATGATAAGAAGCGATCAGTAAATCTCGATCATCCATCAACCTTTGATACATTAGCTATGGATCCGATTATGAAAAAGAACATCATTGACGATTTGGATTTGTTTTTAAAAAGGAAGGATTTTTACAAGAAAGTAGGGAAGGCGTGGAAGAGAGGTTATCTACTGTATGGTCCGCCGGGAACTGGTAAATCGAGTTTGATTGCTGCCATGGCGAATTACCTGAAGTTTGATATATATGATCTACAGTTGAATAATGTTGTGAGTGATTCTTGTTTGAAGAAAATGATGTTAAACACATCGAATCGATCCATTATTGTGATCGAAGATATTGATTGTAGCAAACAAACGCATGATCGGAAGAGAACAAGCTCTTCCTCCTGCACATCTCCTGTTCAACCTAAACGTTTTTCCCAGGTTTGTTTATTTAACTTCCTTTTTGCTACTTTACCCCTGGATCGGAATTAGGATGATTTTGTTTCTTTTCTTGTTGTGTAGTTTTCTTTATCGGGACTTTTAAACTTCATAGATGGGTTATGGTCATGTTGTGGGGATGAACGTATCATAATCTTTACAACGAACCAAAAAAGAAGACACGATCCAACATTGCTTCGACCAGGAAGGATGGATGTGCACATTCACATGTCGTATTTGACCATTGATGGGTTCAAAACACTAGCGGCTAACTATCTCAACATTCTTGACCACCATTGGAGATTTACTGAGATCGAAGATTTACTCAGTGGCACCAAGGTTACACCCGTGGAGGTGGCGGAGGAACTCATGAAATCTGATGATCAAGAGGTTGTGTTGGAAGGAGTTGTCAAGTTTTTGCAACGGAAGAAGACAGAAGAGGATGCAGCGAAGGAGCGAATTAATAAGGGTAAAGATGCGCAGTTCTTGAAGTTGAAGAAAAGAAGAAAAAAAATTGATGCAGAGAAGGAAAAAATTGAATCGAGTGGATAGTATCGAAAACAATTTTATTTTGCTAAATTTAATCATCAATCAGAGGTTGGTTAACATGTTAGAAACAAATATATTTCTAGTTATCGGTATTATGCTATGGGGTAGTTTTGATCATGAGGAACCTTAGTTATGCGTGTGTCCTATCTTTTAATCCAAAAAGAAGAAAAAAGAAAGAAACATTGTCAAAAAATCTAACTTTTGTTGGTTTGGTTGTTGGAAAACAACCAAAACCTTTGGTCCTTAATATTGTCGGTAAAGATAATGATAATGATGGAACTAATTAAAGAAAAGTTCATATTGGTAATGTTGTTTGACACACTTTTTTTGAGTTGTTCGACGCACAACATTTCGTTGACGTTACACAGGGAGAGGGGTGGGTTGATCCACGTTGCGTCAGGGAAGAGGTTCATCCGATATATGTGTGAGAGAGGTGAGAGAACTATTTGATGACGGTTGCTTTATCGGAAACTTCTGGTTTTTGTTTAGAGATCCTTAAGAATAAGGGAAACTTTTAGATTATGGTCACATATATTGATGGAGGAACATTGTGCAAAAATGAATTTTAGATGAACAATTTTTGCATAGTATGATTCTCTAGGTCATTGTGATCTTTAACAATAGTAAGGGGACATTTTTTTGGTATGATTCTTTTGGAATTAAAAACTGAAATCAAGAGGAAAACGTATTCAGTTTATCAAATGAATGGAACTAGATTTCCATAATAACAATTTGATTCTTTAATTAAAAGATTTCAAATTCTTCCATCCTTCAACAAGATTCTAAATTCAATTTCTTATCTTTTGTTTTAAATTAAATTACAACTGCCCTCCTATTATATATGCGTGAAATCAAAAAAAGAAATCAACTCTTTGATTTTCATATCTTCTACGAACTACGATTACATTCTCATTGATTATATATTAGGTTACAACCCATGGAAATTATGGGTAAAAAATTTTGAAAACATTTAGAATTATTATTAAGAATTTTTGTTTTAGGTATTTTCTCCATTAATAGTTGGTGAAGCTACTTAAAATAACATTAGGAAGACTTTATGTATGGAAGATATAAAGAAATTAAGTTAATTTACATCATTTGTGTATATGAGTGGTTATCCGTTGAAATACCAATCATACATTCTGTTAGATACAAATATTGGTGATTCAAATGATATGTTCAAGAAGATTCAACTAATAACTAAGAACCTCAATAATGTGTTTTATATGAGATTAAATTATGTTCTCTTGTTAACTTGAACTCCGGAATAGGATATAAAGCTTGACAGTAAAATGGAAAAATCTTACCATTATTGTTTATGAATTATAGTTTTTCTTTATTTGGTGATACGTATGAATTGCTTCTAAAGTAAAAATATACTTATTAATCATATTTGTAATGTATAAGGGTGTTGATGTTGATGTTGATGTTTGTTTGTATTTTTTTGTTTTATTATTATTATTATTATTATTATTATTATTATTATTTTGCCGAAATCACATATGAGGCATATGATTTGATACAAATGATTGCATACACATTCTGTATATAGAGTATTGTATACCAAATATATTCATTGTGCATTAAATATTTCCGTGAAGTAAATAGGAAATAAATATGGAATCATATTCTGAAAAATAAGATGAAGGCATTATAGTTAATTCATAATAATCAAAAGATGGATCTAGAGAGATGATATGTGTACAAAAGGTTTCATTTATTAGATAGGTGGATTTGAACAAATAGTTTCCAAAAAATCAACATTTTGCTCTCTTTTTTTTGTTCTTAATTTTCCTTATTTTTATATTTCTAAATGAAGTTAGACACATTAATGTATATAAATATCTTTCATAACGGGTTTAGGAGTAACCACCAAGTTACTCCCAACACCTCATTTAGAACTTTTCAAGTATATGTTTTAATTTTTAAATATGATTTTATATAATGATGTTTCAGATTCTTTTTATTTTATTAAACAAAACACGAAAAGACATGATTTCATAAAAAATTAGAAGATGCAATATTTTATTAGTAATACATTTATAATATAGAAACATGGTTCTACGGTTCATATTATTTGCATGATCGAACTGATAATAGATCGAATAAATTGTTAAAATAATGTATAATATTTTTGTATGATTAATTAAGTATAGTAGATTATTATTTAAATAAATTAAGTTGCGTTACCAAAATTAGTTGGAAGCTATTAGTTAATATATTAGTTAATAGCACTTGATAACTTGAAGCAGAAAGTTATAGATTTTATTAATATGTGTTCGATAAAATAACTGAAAGTTATTGAAAAATTGAAATACATACTATACATAGAGACATTTGTTAAAAATTATATTTTTAAATGTGATCTAATAAAGTTGTTATATTAGGCTACAACATTTTATTAGATGCTAAAACCAATTTTTATATTCGAGTTATTTTTTAAAATTATAAAATTTGTAACTCTCAAAAAACTAGTTTCCAAACAAACAAATAAAATGATTTTTTTTTTTAAACTCGCATGTTTTTGTCTCAATTACAACATCATGTTTATAAGATAGAAGTAAGAACCACGAGAGGTATGTTTATAAGATAGGAGTATAAACTAGGGGTGTGCACCAAACTGCACAAACCGCATAAACCGCCCGCACCGCACCACACCGCACCGCATAACGCGGTTTAAAACAAATGCGGCGCGGTTTGCGGATTGTAATTTGGTCAAACCGCACTACGCGGTGCGGTTTGCGGTTTTTAATTACAACACCGCGGTTCAAACCGCACCGCACTATATATATATATATATATATATATATATATATATATATATATATATATATATATATATATATATATATATATATATATATATATATAACCAATTTAGTATAAAATAATTAAAGAACATAACTAATTTAGTCATACATACGAAAAAATGGAACTTTTGTTTAAGTGAATTTGATAGGACTTCCTTTAATAAATTAGATATTGTTGCTAATTCTTTATATGTTTTTCTTTATTTTAATTATACGTTCGAACATGTACAATATATTGTTTAGAACGTATATAGAGTATATGTTTGTTATTCGTCTTCTAATCTTAGGTAAAAACATATACAATATATTGTTTAGAATATATTGTTTACAATAACTTAATATTTATATACTCATACTTAAATTTGAAAAGTTGCCTACCAAACCGCACCAAAACCGCCCACACCGCACCAAACCGCACCGCACCGCATAACGCGGTTTGAAACCTTTGTGGTGCGGTTTGCGGTTTCCAATAATTTCAAACTACACGTGCGGTACGGTTTGTGGTTTTACCTCCAAACCGCACCAAACCGCACCGCGAACACCCCTAGTATAAACCATGAGGGGCATGTTTATAAGGTAATCATGTTTTTTTTTTCTTAAATATTTGACCATTGAACTTGCTTAATATGTTCAAAATAGGGTAATAAGACTGATAATTAACGACAGTATTACCTTATTATAAACAAGTTAGTCAAGTTTACTAGTTAAATGTGTACGAAAAAACATGGATACCTAAATATGGACACAATCAAAGTTCATAAACATGGATACCTAAATATGGACACAATCAAAGTTCATTACCTGTTTTGATAATATTAGGTTCTTTATGTTAAATCCAAACAATCCTAAGACCCATTGATGTGACATGAAAGTTGGTTGTCCGGTGTTTGTGTACAAATAGATGGTCAGATCTTGGGCCAACTTTGTTTAGGCCCAGTTAGTTAGGGTTTAGGTTGTATACGCTTAAGGACGTCGTATATGTTTTAAAGACCTAGCAGAACAGTCTAGCCCAGACTAGCCGGGCCTGAACCGGGTTGGGCCAAGCCTAACGTAATTGTTTATGGACTGTTGTATTACCGTAACGTATTCATAATAGGGTAATATTACCGTAATTATCAATTATATTACTCCATTTTAAACATATCAAACAAGTTCAATGGTTAAAAATGAACGGAAAAAACATGGTTACCCAAAACTATCGAGTGGGTTTCCACATCAAATGTGTAAAATAAAAATTAAAATCTAGAAAAAAGTTAGAATAATGTGTGAATTCAATTTAAGGAATAGATATCAAGAAGAGTGTTTTTGATGAGGGTAGTTTCCAAAGGATATTAAACGCAAGCTACATTTTTGTTAAGTCGATGGAGAAAAAAATAACAAATGAATTAACGTTTCAGTTCTCATTTTATAAAAACTGATGATATTTTGTATAGATACACATTACTTTTTTTAACTAATCATCATTAAATGGCGTCCCAAATATTCCGGAAGATTAGCAACTATCCGCATATAAGATCTTTCTAGTTTCTACCCTCTTCTAATGAAATTCCTAGCTAGGAAAACAGACAGTAATGGCGGAACAGAGGCTTCGTGGTCTAAGTTTTCCGGCGATGGCGACACCGTTATCGCTTCTGTTAGCGTATGCCCCACAATACGCCCCCTCAGTCATGCTCTTGCTCACAATGTACAACCTCGTCCCAACACAACTCCTAAAATACGTCGTCAACGCCGTCCGATTCTACTGGAAACCTAAATCCTCAAAACTCACTCTCCTCTTCGACCAGAGAGACGGCGTTTCTCCAAACCAGATGTTCGATGCCGCCGAAGCCTTCCTCTGTACCAGAATGAAACCAGATTCCAACTGTCTCAGGTGATTGTCAAATCTTTAACTCTTGTTTTATAGATTTTAATTTAAACCCTAAAAATCTTATTGTAGAATAACCAAAACTGTCAAAGAAGATCACATCAATGCTAAGTTTGCAAAATGGGAGGCGATACAAGATTCGTTTGAGGGAATCTCACTTGCATGGAAGTACGTCATCGTGCCACCACAAGAAAGGTCTAACGGCGGTGAAACACCGGAGAAGAAATACATCGAACTGAAATTTGACAAAGAATATAAAGACAAAATAATAAATTCTTACTTGCCATGGATACTTCAAAAAGCTAAAGAAATTGAAAACCAGAAGAATG